ACTTGTACAGGATGAATCTTGCTTCTTCTTTTTCCCATTCTTCTGCCCTCCCTTCACCCCCTGCACCCCTCCCTACATACATGAGCTTTGTTGCCATTTTATGCCTCTTTTCAGATTTTTCTTTTCCTTCTTTCATTTCCCTCACCCCCCTTCCAAGTTCCCCTTTCCCTTTGAACATTTTCTTCCTATTTCACATTAGCCATTATACATTTTGGTCTTCATTTACTCTTTCAGTTTCTCACACCAAAGCAACTATTTGGTATTTACACTTATGTGTCCTATTTATTTCACTGAAGAGTAGGGACTCAAGGTGCATACCTTTAGGTATAGATATATCTAATTTCCCTTTCTTTGTAGCTGAGTAGTACTCCACTTCATAAAAAGAGTCCACATGTTCTTTACCCAATACCCATTTGATGTCCATTTGTTAGCTATTACAAACTGTGTTGCTGTCAACATGGGTGTGCTTATATGACTGTGGTATGATACTTTAATCCTTTTGAGAAAATACACAGGAAGGGGAATAGCTGGGTCAAATGGGACATGGAATCCACTATTTTTAGGAATCTGCATACTGATTTCCACAGTGGTTGCACCAGTCTACATTCCCAGCAATACTGGAGAAGCATTCCTTTTTTGCCATATCTCCACCACCATTTGTTATTGGTTAATTTCTTGGTAGCAGCTATACTTTCTCCAGAAGAGGGAGTTACAATGTTGCTTTCATTTTCATCTCTCCAATGAGCAGACATATTGAACATCTTTTCAAATGTTTATGGACTGCTTTTCCATCTTCATCTGAGAAATGTCTATTCATTTCAGAAGCCCATTTTTGGATGAGGTCTTTCCATTTACCGAGGGGTCTGATTTTTGAAGTTCTTTATGTATTCTAGATAGTATTCCTTGGAGGAATCTCTGGTCAATTTGTTTTCAAAAACTGTGTGTTGTCCATTCAGTCTGCTGTTGGTTTCTCTTGCTGTGGAGAAGCTTCTTAATAAGGTGAGATCCCAATTGTTTACAATTTTGTTCTAGTTCCCCTGCAACTGAGGTTTTGCTGGGTATCTTTCCAAAAGAATTAAAAAAATCATAGCACAGCTCTAGAAGGTCAAGCAAGTTCATAGCATCACAAAATTTGGAAACAGCCCAATTGCTTATCAACTGGAGACTGGATAATAAAATGTGGATTAGTGTGTGTGTGTGCAGATCTCAGGAGCAGTGATGTGGACCAGAATAGTACACCAGCAGGCAGATAGAGCAAGGGCCCCATGCAAACCCCAGCCACTTGGGCACACAGGCCCAAGCCAAAGACTTACCCAAAAAAGAGCTGCAAAGGTGAAGCAATAGTCCCTGTATCGTTGGTAAGTGCACAGAGAGCCTAACCCAAAGCCTGCTCAGACACAGAGAACTGGGGTGCACAGCACCCAGCCAAAGGCCCTCCCAGACAACAGCTACATAGGTGGGCACGCTCAAGCCAGAAGCACACCTAGATACCATCCCAAGTGTGCACAGGCCCCAACCTGAAGCCCACCCACACAACAGGTCAGCTCAGGTATCCAGAAGGCCAACCATCTGAACCCAAGAGTTAGCACAATTGTGAGCAGCAGAGTAAAGGCTGCTCAGTGGCTTGCTCAGAATTCAAGACCACCGGGTGAGAAAGAAGTCACTGCAACAAAGGCACAGCAGGCTGCATCTGTTGAAATGAGAACACACGTAAAGAAATCTCAAAACCAGACTTCCAGATCATCTATTGCAATACCAAAAGGCAAAGAGTCTCCTTGAACTGGCAAAGGAACAGGATTTGGAAATGAAGAAGTCAGAACTATTTTCTCGGATCACAACACATATTGTATCCATAATGCAGGAAATGATTAATAAATGTAGAGCAGACAAAGATAAAACAGCAGAGGAGCTGAGGAACATGAGGTAACCCCAATATTGGAAACAAAGGGAGTCTCTCCCAAAGAGCTGGGAAGGACCACACAGGCATGCCCACTAGCTGCCCTTTAACTCATGTGGGCAGAGC